TGATACAGGGAATCATATTCAGTGGCATGAGTCACGTCGAAGACCTCCATCTGTAAGGTTAACTCAGTAAGCTCTTCGCGAAGAGAAAAGATCTCCTTGTGCATAATGTTGAACTCAACATATAGGTCTCGTTGCTGCAGATAAAATTAGAGGAGATCAATGTGGTCCTTTTCAAGAGGGGTGTAGGATGGTGTTGCGGTGAGAATCGGATATCAAGCTATTAATTTACTTGAATCACAAATATATTAAACTCACCACCGAGCTTTGATTCATCCAAAGGAAAGGGTAAAGATCGAAAGAAAACCCTAAGTGTGCTACATAACAACGAAGCTAAGAGATCCAAGGTTCGAGGGTTGGTTATACCTAGGGAAGGTGTTATCATCCTAGGTATCTGTAGTACTTTACATGAACCTCTTGCTAGTATTTGTGTTATGCTAAAGTTTTCTTGCTAAGGAAATGTGTTAAGGTAAAGACCTAGGGGTATATATATACTAAGTATGCTTGCCAAGACATCGCATCTCGTGCATATGTATCCTTATAAGGATGGAATCAGAGCAACCATAGTTCACCTAACTACGGAAGAGGAACTCTTGATAACGATCAAAGATCCAGAGGGTACGTAAGTATCTATAACCATGACACTTACACATAATTAACCAACTCTCTAAGTCTAAGTTGAAACCTAACCTAACTAGGGTTGACTTTAACCAAAGTCAAAGGGGAAAGTGAGTACTCATAACCATGATACTTACATAGAGTTCATCAACTCTAGACCTAATTCAAAGTTACAAGACCAATTAGTTCTAACTAGACTAAAAGGAGGGATATAAGTGTTAGTTGTTAGTGGTTAGAGGTTAGAGGGCTCGACAAGATATCACATCTTATGCCTACGTATCCTAACTAGGGAAGAGGAATAAGAGCCTCTGTAGTTCGGCCAACTAGGGATGAGGAACTCTTGACTGTGGTCAAGGTTCCAGAAGGGAGTAAGTATTCATAACCGTGATACTTACATAGAGTTAAACAACTCTCTAAATTTAAGTTGAAGGTCCTAACTGGGAATTGAATTTGGCAAAAGTCAACAAGTGGAAGATGAGTACCTATCACAATGGTACTCACATAGAGTTTACAAACTCTAAACCTAATCCTAAGTTACAAAGGGAAATGGCTCTTACAAGGCCAATGTGATTACTCTAACAAGGTCATAAGGTGTGATAGGGAGGCTAGACTATCCTAAAAGAGAAAAGATATAGAAGTCCAGACATACTTAATTCCTTTGGAAGTTGGTGAAGACGCCCACTTAAGAAAAAGGAACATAGTGTGCAACAAAATTGAAACCCTAATCAAAGTACAAAGCAGAATCAAAGCAAAATATTCATCATGATGACAATCAAGGAAGGGCAGCAAGTTTATCATGAAATGTCCAAAGACAAACAAGACTATGAATAAAACTCATCACAATTCAAAACCATAAATCTGCACACTATAACATGTTAGAATAAATATAAAGGATCAAACTCACAAAATCAAATAAGTTTCTACAAAACCAAGATGTATATCCAACTTATACTTGCAAATGAATTCAAGGAAACATCAAAAGAATAAAAACGTACAACTTAAAACCCTAAATAAACACAAACTTTAAACATACACAAATGCAATAAAAATAAATATTTTTGAGGTTTTCTTTTTAGAAATAGAAAGTAGACATGAAAATGAGATCATAGTAAAAAGAATGGACCAAAATACTTTAGGGATCAAAAGGATACAAAGGTTTGAAATTATGAAGAAAAATGAGAAAATAAGTGATAAAAAAAGAAAGGAAGTGCAACTAGAGGGTTTGAACCCACGTCACCTCTCTTACTAACCAAAACCTTACCAACTCAACCACTGCGTACCTCAATTAACCAAATGAACAAAAACAAATAAATATGTGAGACAGAATGAAAACTGGAAAATAAAAAAGGAATAAAAGATTATGGGGTGAGGGGGGATTCGAACCCGAGACTCCCAAGGCTTACGCACGTTGCCTCTACCACAGGGGTGGCTATACATCCACTGTATAAGCCACCCATATAACTATATATTTAGAACACTTAATAGAAATTCCAGCTCAAAAGAACCCTAGCCATGTCAGCTTCTTCTTCCACTTTCATCTTCTTCTTTCAACGTAGTAACACAATACCAAACTTCATCTCACCAAAACTCACTCACCATGCCATGAAAATGAAAAGTGTAAACACCAAATTTCAAGTCTTTTTCACCAGTATCAATAGTATCACAAAATCAAAACCTAAAACTAAACTTAGACCCCAGCATATATTGGTCAAACCGTGTGACACCAAAAGAATAAACAGAAGAACAATGTGAAAGGCTCAGTTCATACACCATATGTAACAGTTCATAGACAAAGGAAATGATAAGAATAACAATTTTCATTTACACATTAATCAACAACAACGTGAACATATAGAGCTTAGGTGAAAGACGATTACCTCTTGAAGTGAATCTGAAGCTCCTTCAATGCTGATCACAGAAGCAAGAAATAATGCTCCTCACCCTTGTTGATCCTGAGAGAAAAGCTAGAAACCAATGGTTTGCTTGGAAACAACTCTCAACCCAAACCCGATAGATCAAGCTTGAAAGAGGTTTAAAAATGGTGGGTCGTGCTTGAGAGGCTACAACTCTTTTTGAATGGTTGGGATAGGTCTTTATGGTGTAAGGTGAAGGTTTATGGAATTTGTTTTGACTTTTTGATGAGTGGGTGTGGTGACTAAGGAGATTTTGCAGAAACTAAAAATGGTTATGTGTCTTGCTCGAGAATGAGTTTTTTACGGTATTGCCTATTTTCTCTTCTCTCTCCCTTTTCTGAATTGCTCCCTTTTGTTCTTATGGTTAGTATCCTTTTGAAATTCGCTTTGGAGCCAAAAATCAAAAGTTCCACTTGATGGTGATGGCTCGAGTTAGGTCAAGGTCCAGAACCTGTTTGGGCAGTGGATCTTTTGTTGTAGAGAAAACCAGTATATAAGGTGGGAAGGCTAGGTCAGGTTGGTGGTTTCATGTTTCCATGATTATACCAACATATACTTTTTGCATGTCATAGAAGTGAAAGCTTAAAATGGAAATATTTGGAATCATAGCAAGATAGGTTTGGTGCACAAGGATTGATGTCTCGGATGCTGAAAGAGGTTACAATGTTTGGCACAAGAATTGGTCATGGCTTGAAAATCGTGGCAAGGTGCAAATCAAGTTTGCAAGATCACTTTGGCATGTGATAACTTCAGGGGTAGTGACTCAAATGAGAAGATCTTGAGCTCTTCGGAAAGAGGGAATGTAATTGAGCAACTTTCATGTTTTAAACTTTTTGATTTGAGGCTTGGATCATAATGAAAAGTGGACATGAAAATTGATCCAACAAGTTGATCTAGGCAAACATGCGCATTGTAACATCCGAGGTTAATGAGGGCAGAGAGTGGTTACATGTAACACCTGTGGGCGAGGGAGTGGTTGTCGGTGCGTGAGGCATGGCAATGAGACACTCCTATTAGCTTCTGGGGAAAACCCGAATTCACATCCGAATGAGAGGGATCTTGATGTGGGACTGCATAATTGAATGAAGGCTTATAAGGATTACTTGGTACTACCTATACTAACAAGATGCATCTTCTTTTCGGTAGCCCATTCATAAGAACTCCATAGTTAAGTGTGCTTGACTTGGAGAAATTTAGAGATGGGTGACGTTCTGGGAAGTTTCTCGGAAAGCATGTGAGTGAGGAAAAAGCATGCTGAAAAGACCCGTGTTGGTTTGTGGGGTCAGTCGGTAATCCTGAAAGCAATATGAGGCGTTACATAAACTCTAAAGTTTATCTTATGTATCTGCTTGAGGGACTAAGTTTAATATGTAGCCTCGAGAAGTCATTGACAATTGGTTTTTGAGTTTGTAATATGTTTGATTAGTTGATATATGTCCTTATGAGAAGGCGAAATCACTCTAACGAGTGGACTGAATTAACTTAGTTAATAATGAACCAATATAAAAATCTTGTGTGTTTCTATCATTATTTTTCTTGTCATTAGTTTGTGAAAAAGTTGTTATATTTGAAATCCAATTCAAACCCCAATTTCTTGTATTTCTTGAACCTTCAGAAAACATATGCGTAAGAGATTTAGAAATTCAAGAAATCAGAGTCGAAGCGATACTTGATCAGATAAAATGCGATGAATTTTCACGTTCGATTTTAGAGGCTTTTGATTAGATGGTTTATGAATGTTGGGAAATGGTGGATTGAAGAGCGATAGTAGAATTGTGGAGAATCTAAGAATCAGAAGTCAATTCTCACAAATGGCGCCGTTGTTCTGTTTTAGAACCAAAAATGGAATGAGTATTAAAAGTGATGGTAGATCTGAACTTCTAAAAGATTGATTTGTAAAGTTAGCACTCTAACACATAAGTCAATTTAAAAAAAATATATATAATAAAATTTATATCAAAATTATTAATATGATAAAACATTAATAAGATAAACTATGCTATCTTAACACCATTTTTGATACACCATATCTTAACAAAGACATGAAAAATTATTTAAAAAGTAGAATTTAAACATTGTATGTATATACGTGTAAAAAAAAGATTTTGTAAACTTATCATTTCTCTACTAAGATATAATACAATTTTACGAAACTAAAAAATACCTAAATAAAAAGTATAATTATTGATATAAATTGTGAGGTTGGTTTGGTATAAATTGTTACCTCTGGTTCAGATATAGAAGATTGTTCTCTATGATGATTTCCCCTACATTTGCGCATTCCCTTGAGATACCCGTGAATTTATCCCAAGCTTCAAAAATGGCTCTTCACCATTCTCCTCCTCTTCTTCCCTTTTGTTCCTTTTTCTTCAACTCTCAACTCCTCGTATCTCTCGCCTCAAACCACACCTCCTCATTCCTCTTGCTCAATCAGCCGCGGAATCCGATTAACCCCGGAATCCGCCATGGAAGATGCATAGAATAATATCCACGCCGGCGTCTAAATTCCGCCAATTCCGGCGACTCCGCTCCGGACATACTACCATAACCGCGGCGAGCGACGAGGAACAAGCTTCACATATCTTATTATGGCGGTACCAGATCTTGGATCCAGACAGCGACTTTGTTGCCTATTGGAACAGGGTTTTCCTCGTCACCAGTCTTCTCGCGCTTTTCATCGATCCTCTTTACTTCTTCCTCCCCACCGTTGGTGGTCCTGCTTGCTTGACGGCGGACCCCAAACTCAGCATCTTCCTCACTGTTCTACGTTCGTTTGCTGATCTATTCTATATTCTCCACATGGTTATGAAGTTCCGTACTGCATTTGTTGCTCCTAATTCGAGAATTGTTGGCCGCGGTGATCTTGTTATGGATCCTAGACAAATTGCAATGCGGTATTTGAAGTCTGATTTTGTTATTGACCTTGCTGCCACCATTCCATTACCTCAGGCAACCACCCTTGCACCTTTTGTTCATATCATATATATGTTTTTCTAATGATCTTATTTGAATAGTTAATTGATTTAGAGGTAGATAATCAATTAGGATAATGATGCTGATTAATTTTGAGATAATCAATTTGATGATGATGATGATAATTGATTAAGAGTATAACCTACAAAGCACGAACACCTTTAGAAGTAGGGGTGTTGCAATTTCCATTACCTCATACGACACGCGTCGGAAAAGTTAGACAAGTGTCCCTCTAAAATGGTTTTTTTTTTCTTTGCTTTGACACTCTTTGAATTGATATCCTGGTATGACATTCATGCAATACTGGTATGACATTCATGCAATACGTGTCTGGCTCAGGCCTTTGAGAATTTCTAGAAGGACTCTGTTTTGAGTAAAGTGTTGTTAACGAAAAATATTGATTGATTGTTGAGTTTGATAAAATTGCAGATTGTTGTTTGGTTAGTGATTCCAGCTCATACGGGAAGAAAAACTGATCATGCCAACAACACTCTTGCACTTTTTGTTCTTATTCAGTACGTTCCTAGGCTCTTTCTCATCTTTCCTTTGAACCAGCGTATTCAAAAAACAACAGGTGTTATAGCCAAGACTCCCTGGGTTGGTGCTGCATACAATCTTGTTCTCTACATGCTAGCTAGCCACGTAATGTCACTATTACCTTGCATGAATTTTATTTTAATGTCTTCATGGCTCTAAATCATGGTAGGCAATTGTAATTGCGGCTGAATATAACAGTTTTAGAGGTCTCTGCAACAGCATTGCAACTTCAATTGCGGTTGCACCACATTTCTCCGCAATATAAAGGTTCACTATGTAACTGTAATTGCAACCACGATTTATGACCATGATTGTTTAGTCTTATGATTTTGGTAATTAATTTATCTTTGGAACTTGAAACTAGAACAGGTTACAGGAGCAACTTGGTACCTATCATCAATAGGAAGGCAATTCAATTGCTGGAAAACGCAATGTGAACTGGAAAACCGGTCACATTCCCTTTCTTGCTTGCCAAGTTTTCTTGACTGTAATAGTTTGGATCTCCCGGAAAGACAGTACTGGCTAAATATCACTCGTGTTATTACCAAGTGTGATGCAAAGACCAAGATCAACATCAAATACAAGTTTGGGATGTTTGCAGATGCTTTCCTCAATGATGTTGTCACTACTAGTTTTAAGGAAAGATATTTCTATTGTCTTTGGTGGGGTTTAAGAAATTTAAGGTACATTTTATTTTCATTTTGTCCTATTCTGTTTCAGAAGAGCTACACTTTATTGTTGTGAAAAATGTTCATTTCTGTTTGATGATTTACGTATTTATATCGGTGGTTATTTCTTTTTGCAGTTCTTATGGACAAAATTTGGACACCACCACATACCTTTTAGAGACACTATTTTGCATCGTCTTATGCATTGCTGGATTGGTACTCTTCTCACTTTTGATTGGAAACATGCAGGTAAGAATATTGGATCAGAAATTTGCATATCTAAATAGTCATTCAATACTGACTTTGTCTATTATTATGAATTAATTTTTACCACATTTCTCTTGAGGAAGACATACTTGCAATCAATGACTGTTAGATTAGACGAATGGAGGATTCGGAAAAGGGATACAGAGGAATGGATGAGGCACCGGCAGCTACCTCAAAATTTGCAGGAACGCGTTCGTCGCTTCGTTCAGTATAAATGGTTAGCTACAAGAGGAGTAGATGAAGAGGCCATACTGCTTTCCTTACCTTTGGATCTCCGCCGAGAAATCCAACATCACTTGTGTCTCTCTCTAGTGCGACGAGTATGTCTATCCTTTTTTTGTCTAAATCTTCCCGTTTATCTGGAAATAACCCTACTTAATTTTGTTATTGGCCGTGAGCTAAAATTAAATTTCCGTGTTATCATATTATATAGGTGCCATTCTTCTCACAAATGGATGATCAACTACTTGATGCAATCTGCGAACGCCTTGTATCATCATTAAGCACACAAGGGACATATATATTTCAAGAGGATGATCCGGTAGATGAAATGTTGTTTATCATTAGAGGGACATTAGAGAGTTCAACAACCAATGGAGGAAGGTACGGGTTCTTCAATTCAATCACACTAAGGCCAGGAGACTTTTGCGGAGAAGAATTGTTAACATGGGCTTTATTACCAACCTCAACTCTCAATTTACCTGCTTCTACTCGTACTGTAAAAGCTATTACCGAAGTAGAAGCTTTTGCGCTAAAAGCAGAGGATCTAAAATTCGTGGCAAGTCAGTTCAAACGTCTTCACAGCAAGAAACTTCAGCATGCATTTAGGTATTATTCGCAGCAATGGAGAACATGGAGTTCTTGTTTCATACAAGCAGCATGGAGAAAGCATCAGAAAAGAAAGGCAACAAGAGAGTTGTCGATTAAGGAAGGCATTTACTACATGGCGGATCCTGCGATTGAGGAATCGTCAGAGCATGGCAGAAATTTTAATAATCTTGGTGCTACTGTTTTGGCTTCAAGATTTGCTGCAAATACGAAGAAAGGGAATAGTAAGATTCAAGATAGTGATCCTGTGCCGCAGTTGTTTAAACCTCATGAACCTGATTTCTCTCGAGATCATGTTTAGTGAGCACAAAAAGAAGGTGAAATTAAAATGAGTTTAACACTAATTCAATAGGAACTGTTTTATGAGATGGATGTAAATGGTTGTACTGTATTAATAGATTAGTATTCTTAATTATTTACCTTAAACGAATTTACTTTAATTAAATTTCGCGCATTTGGACTATTTCTTTCATTACAAATCTTTCTTAAAATGCATATAAAAGATCTATAATATCTAACAAGAACACACATGGTAACTGAATTTTACGTTAATCTGAAAATTCCTTGGAAATAATTAATGATTTACATGGATATTCCAATGTTTACTTGTTACATTAAGTGTTTTTGTGAAACTATGTGTACTGCGGAATCGAATCCTTTGACTTTTTAAGTGGGAAACTCAGGGTGACTTTACATGTTTGGAACGACTAAAAAAGGCATAAACTTTTCCCCCTCGACCATGTTCTAGCCTTGAAGCCTGGAATGATGTTGCTCCGTGGACCGGCCACTTCCAATTACACTCTCCCTGTTGTTAAATACTCTCTTTGGTCTTATTTACTAGAGAAATTTGACTTTTTAAATTTATTAAATAATCGAAAAAATTATTTAGTTCAGATACATTGATTATTTAATGAATTTATAAAGTAAATTTTTTCTTATAAATAAAAAAATCACAATAATAAAGAAATTCAACCATCATTATCAGCAAATTTGAGATTGATAGTGGTTACATGGGACTGGCCAATGGCGGCGATGGAAGGTTGAAGGAGGTGTGGTGATGGAAGATTGAAGGAGGTGTGACGACAATGGAAAAATAAAGGTGCAAAGAATGTGGAAGAGATAGAAGGAAGGAGATGCAATACATTCCTTTTTTTTTCTTCTTTATATTATATTATTTGTGGTCCTACTTATAAAAAAAAGTTTATTTTTTAAATTCATTTAATGTCTAATTTGATTCTATTTATAAAAAAAAAAATTATTTTTTAAATTCATTTAGTGACTAATATATTTGATCTATATTTTGTTGAGATATATTGTTTATTCAATGCATATAAAAAATAAATTTTTTTTATGAATAGAATTAGAGGGAGTAAGATTAAATTAATTTTTAAGAAGAAAATAATTAGAGCGAAACGTGACATGATTTGGTGCAATAGATTAATCTGATGCATATGATTCACTCAAAGTCACCTTGACTTTCCCAGGTCAAAGTTAGAGAATTTAAATCCGTGTACAACATGTAACAATCATAATCTTCTTTTTGTTATCCGGTTTTTAATTAGTCTTAATGAAATTTTTTGGGTAGTTCTGTCAAAAGAAAAGTAAAAAGTCTTTTTAATGGATCACTTGCCTACGTTTGAGAATTTAATCTGTCACTCCCTCTTTTATATTGGGCACCCCACTTAATTTTAGAATTTTATAAAACCCATGCTCAAAATTGGAATTTAATTTGCATACAAAATTTTTGAAATATAATTTTAAAATTTTGGTACAATCAAAAATTCCAATAGTGTATTAAGAATTTTCGAAATGAACTAATATCAGAATTTTCAAAAATTTTCGACACGCTTGAAATTTATTGAAAATTTTAAAAAATATCATGTTATATCGAAAATTTCAACCAATACGAAATTTCCAGTAGTTTGATTTTATAAAGATTTTCAACGGTTATGATTTTGCCGACAGTTTTGGACGATTGTGATTGCATATATCGTTTTGTATGGTCTAAAATGAATTCAAACTTGTATAAATATGGGTCACTTGTTGTTGAGAAAAACGTCTCAAAATGCCTCATCCTCAATTTTTTATAAAGGCACAAGCGTACTTCGACGAAACTACACCTATAGAGTTACGACTTCCTGATGACACTACATCTCGCGCCGTCTTGGCATCCCAGTTGAATGAATTGTTGCCTGATACAAATAACAGAAAGGTGAGAAAGATCAAATTTTGTGAAGATTGTATTGATACTGATGGAATGGTGAAATACAACCTTATTGAATTGAAGATCGATGAAGATTTGACAATTAAGTGGAGATCATTTCGTCGTAGGCTAACTAAGGGGGCGATTGAGTTAGATGCAAAGATTTCAAGATATGTCGATGACATAATTAAGATACTGAGACGTACAAAGTCATCTGATAGTCTTTAAGTTTTCTTATTTATTATTGTTTTGTTAAGTTATTTAATTGTCTGTCTAAGTTATAAAGTCGTTTGGCAAATGTTAAGTTGATTGCATATCACACCCTGACTGATGTAATCAACCCCTGAAAAACTCAACGGGGAGATAAGCTTTACCGCAGAAAAAGATCATGTCATCCTGCAAACAACCAACAAACAACAAAAGGCTTGTATGCAAATGGTTGTTTTGGTTACCATCCATGACATCATTAAAGTAAATTCATTCTTTTCAATATGACTTGTAGTTCCCCAATGTTTTTACATGTAAAGTTTAACAAAAATATCAGACGCCCTTTTTTTGCAAACAAAATAGTAAAAGTAAAAACAGGAAATGAAAAGCTCTTTGAGTGAATAATACTTTATTGATTGGGAAGAGCTTGTAAATAGGCAAGTTACAACAGATACAATTTTTAAAAAGAGGTAATTGCGCAAAAAATACAACAAGAAATATACAAATGTCGGCAATATGGAAACAGACAACCACCATGTGTCGATTCGGCTATGACCTGTATGTCTTCGATCTTTCACCAATGTTCTGCCTTCTGAAGAGACTGATTGGACTAATTTTTACCCTTCGGTACTTCCATGAGTCAAAATGCATTCACAGATCAAACGCAAACTGTAGTTATTTGCTTTTAAATCCCTAACTTTTGCCTGGACCACCCTTGCGGGTTTTCGATCCACCAGGATACCCATTTTTGCCAAAGTCGCCTTTTCTGGTTTTCAACTTTGCGGGTTTATTCCTTTTTCTTTTATCCCTAATTTTTGCCCGAACCTTTTCCTTTTGTGGTTCGCCGGGATTCCCCATTTTTTCCTGGACTTTCTTTTTATGTCCAGCGGGTCTATTTTAAGCAAAGTATTTTTTGACTGCGTCTGCATTCACAGGGGACGTGAAATCTTCACCATCCATGGTTGATAGTAACAAGGCTCCACTAGAGAAAACCTTTCTTACTACGATGGACCTTTATAGTTAGGAGCCCACTTGCCCCTATGATCTGTTTGTGGAGGGAGAATCCTCTTCAACACCAAGTCACCTATCTGGAAATGCCGAGGGCACACCTTTTAATCAAAAGCCTTCTTCATTCTGCTCCAGTATAGTCGTCCATGGGCGATAGCTGCCAATCACTTTTCATCAATTAGACTAAGTTGATTCAACCTAGCCTTCACCCATTATACTTCATCAAGCTTCACATCAGACAATACCCTTAAAGAAGGAATCTCGACCTCTAATGGTAGAACAACTTCCGTACCATATACCAGCAAGAAAGGTGTTGCCCTAATAAATGTACACAGCGAAGTACGATAACCATGTAAAGCAGAGGGCAACATCTCATGCCAATCTTTATAAGTCACCACCATCTTCTGCATGATCCTCTTGATATTCGTATTCGCTGCCTCAACAATGTCATTCATCTTTGGACGGTATGGAGAAGAATCGTGGTGTTCAATTTTGAAACTCTAGCACAGCTCTTTCATCATTTTATTATTTAAATTCAAACCATTGTCAGTGATGATTTGTTCTGGTATTCTGTAGCGGCAGCTGATGTCCTTCTTTATAAAACGAGCAACCACTTGCTTGGTGACATTGGTAAAGGAGGTTGCCTCTACCCATTTGGTGAAATAATCAATTGCTACCAAGATAAAGCAATGTCCGTTGGAGGCAGGCTCAATTTTCCCGATCATGTCAATATCCCACATAGCAAAGGGCCAAGGAGATGTCAATACGTTTAGAGGGCTCGGTGGCACATGCATTTTATCAGCATAAATCTGACATTTATGGCATTTTATGGTATATTTAAAACAATAGGACTCCATGGTCATCCAGTAATACCTTGCCCTCAATAGTTTTTTAGACATTGCATGCCCACCAGTATGAGTACCAAAAGAACTTTCGTGGACCTCTTCCATCAATAAGCTTGCTTCATGCTCATCCACACAATGTAGCAACACCATGTCAAAGTTTCTTTTGTATAACACATCATCCTTATTTAAGTAGAAATTTCCCGAAAGCTTCCTTAGAGTCTTCTTGTCCTTACTTGATGCCCAGGTAGATACTCTTGAGTCTTGAGGAAATGTCTGATGTCAAAATACCAAGGCTTTCCATCCGATGCTTTTTCAATTGCAAATACGAAGGCCGGCCTGTCAAGGTGCATGATAGTGATTGTTGGAGCTTCATTCCAGAAATTCACTTTATACATTGATGATAATGTTGCCAAAGCGTCCACCATCTGATTTTCAGCCCTCGGTACATGATGAAACTCGACTCTATCAAAGAACGTCAGCAATCTTCTGGCGTAGTTCTTATAAGGCACCAGGTTGGCCTGACGAGTCTCCCACTCTCCTTGGATTTGATTGACGATTAATGTTGAATCACCATACATATCTAGATTATTGATTCTCAAATTAATATCTTCTTCTAGACCCATGATGCATGCTTCATATTCAGCTTCATTATTCATACAAGAAAACGTCAACCGGGTAGTGAATGGTATGTGGGAACCATGAGGAGTTGTAATGATTGCCCCAATTCCACTGCCGTATGAGTTAACAACACCATCAAAAATCAATTTCCACTGAGACCCAATCTCGGGTCCCTCGTCAGGTAAAGGCTCTTCACAGTCCTTCATCTTCAAAGACATTATATCTTCGTCAGGAAACTCAAACCTCATTGGTTGATAATCCTCAATTGGTTATTCGGCAAGATATTCTGACAATATACTCCCTTTAATGGCCTTTTGGGAAACATATTGAATATCGTACTCTGTCAGCACCATCTGCCATCTAGCAATTCTTCCAGAAAGCGCCTGCTTCTCAAACACATATTTAATCGGATCCATCTTT